TTTTTTTTTTTTTTTTTTTTTTTTATTTACCTGGTGCAGGATCCTTTATTGCGGACGCACATCTCGCAAAGCTGAACGCGAGAATTATTGCGAGACCGAGCATTGCGACGCCGGCGACGCGTCTACGTCAACTGGCGCCTGATACTAAACCTGCGCGCCGCCTGCTGTCGCGAATTCCGCTTTGCCGCCAAACGCTCTGCGCAGGCGCAGGATCCTTGCTGTCTTTCTTCCAGGGACTCCAAGGGACGTGTATTCTGGAGGGTGGGATAGTGTGACTGGTATTCATTATTTCACGTAGAGAAATCACGATGCGGAAATCCAAATTCGAAGTCGTGCAGAAGAAAACGAGACTGTTGGTATTTGTATGATAAAAATATATATTGGAAAAGGAATGCGTGACGGTATTATTGCATAAAATGCATCGATTACTGTGAAACAATGTTTTATTAATCTTCATTCTCATATACAACTTATATTTATCCTTTAATGATTCAATATTTAGAACGAATGTGACTCTCAGCCTATCGCTTTCGGTGATTCGATCGATTTTCGACGCTTTATTATTTACAATTATTTTTTTATCCGCTAATTATCATATATACAGATGCACATTACGCGACAGCGGTATTTAACTCTATATAAAAAATATAACGGGTGTACCGTCGGTGATCAAAGATCATAGAGACTCAAAAATTTGTTTTCCTCTCTAAAGGTATCGATCATCGTTCTTAATTTTGTGAATATTCCAATGTACCAATGGCCAGTGTATTTACTTATTTTGGATAAAAATCCTATCTATGCTCTATTGCATTAACATAATTAAATATAAGACAATTAATGAACAATTACGGCATCGAGTGTCAAGATATCCTTATCAAAAATTGTACCGTGTCGCTTCTAGATCTCAGACACATCCTCGCATCGGCCACATATTAATTTCTAATCTCTGTAAGATTCTTCGATAATTCAACATTCTTATAGACCTTAACGTTTTAGCAAAACACATACAAAAATTAATTGTAACATTAACACACATTGTTCTCCTAATCAAGATGGAAACTGTAAAAGAATTTACACTTTTTCCCCAATAGTATTGACAATGCCAGATAAAGGTACAAAACGATTATCTCAGACATCGAAAAGAGCAATGGCAATTCAATAGTTTCCATTATAAAACCCCACCTGTGCATTACTCAAGCGTAACCCGTCGCTGCAATTTCTCATTTACCGAAAATCCTTACAGCAAGGTGAACGTAATCCAATCAGATTCCCCATCTGATGGCTACTTAACGGCTAGAGCTTTTTTTCGCACACAGTCAGCTTTCCATCTTATCTTCACAAATACACTTTGATATAATTATCGTCATAATAAATCCAAGCTACCAATCAATATACGCACTGTGCTCAGAAAAAAAGCTTACATGACCCAATCGACACTGCCTTAAGAATAATTCGGTAGCTGTTCGTTCGAGGTTCAACAAAAAATTAAGCCTAAATACCTTAACGCACTACGATTGAATCGTCGCAATCTAGAGAGCTTATATATATATATGTATATCTAAAAGATGTAAGATATATATATATATATAAACATACAAGTCTGTATATGCAGTAAGAGATTAAAAGAATGCAATAGGTATCACATAACTGCACTATCAAGTAATCTCCTTTCGGGCTGATATTCAAATCAACGTCAAAGTGTCGGAACTCAGCCGGAAGTCGAGTCGCTTAAGGTATGCAAGATTTTTTAGTGGCTGTGGGCGGTCTTATTAAAATTCGTTTGTTCGTGAATATTCCTTTCGGCGCGATCGTTAAATCATGTATGAGTGCTAAGGTGGATGCACATGAGGACGTCGAGAACTTAAGCTGCAGTTTTCCTCAATGAAATTCATCTCCAATGCAGCAAAGTTACTCCATCGTTCGTCCTATAGGTATGAGGTTGTTGTTGTTTTCGTCGTTTTCGTGATAAGAAAATGCCTCGTCCATCCTGTGGCTATTGTGTCAACGCGTTTTCACGAAGCGAATGTGCTACGAATTGAAAACTTGATTCGTCCTGATTTTTAGTGCACAACAGCGTAACGGCCGACGAGCAAAACATGGCAGTCGTCGCAAACTCGTACAGGTTTGGCCGATGTGGGCAAAGCGATGGTGTTGTCGCTGCAAGCGTGACAGAAGATCTTGCCGCAATTTCTGCAATGGTGCTGCAACAGACAAGAACGGAAGTGGAACAAGTGAGTAAATAAAGATAAAAGGGAAAAGGGAAGCTGCAATGAAATTATTTGATTTTCCTGACCCTGAGCTTTCGCCAGTCTTTTTTTACCTCGTTACCCCTGAGGGAGCTTTAAGGTGTAATCGTAAAATTGCATTCTC